GCATGCGACCGGCAGACTTACAAAATCGGCCAAATGAACATGCCCCTCCGAGTCAAGCAGAATATTGTCCGGCTTGACGTCACGATGGATAATTCCCTGCGAGTGAATGTACCTCAGAGCGCAGCCCAGCTCAGCTATCCAGAACCTCACTGCCTCCTCCGTGAAACATTTCCGCGAGATGTGGAAACGGAGGTCACCGCCATTCATCAAATCCACCACAATGTAACTTCTCAATTATCAGTGACTGCGGACGGATGATGGGGATGTCGTGTTGGGAGAGCTATTGCAGGACGCACATATATTCAATGTCTTGGAAGCTGTATCTCAAGTTGCAAAGGAAGGCATGGTTGAGGTGCTCGAGCATCCGCCGTTCACGGATGATATTTCGTACGCTTTCCGACCGGACAACTACCCAAGAAACGAGCATCTAATGTCAGCGTGCATTGAGGCCCTCGATCGGCAGCCACATACCTTCTTCCTTCCGAATATATTTCAGCGCGAACGTCAACCCGGTGTCTTTCTTCTCCACGATGCGAACCTTGCCGAACGCACCCTTGCCAACCACCCGCAACAAACGAAACTGATTCAAGTTCACTGCGCCACTGTCAGCCCCTCCGCCGCCTATTATTGTCTGCCAACCCGATACGTACACTCATCGGTGGCGGCCACCTGTTTCCCTTGCGAGTTTCCCATTTAGACAGTTGTGTAACCACAGACGTTGGAGATCTTGTTCTCGGTCACCAATAGCAACATCCCACTGAAACCACAATACTCTCGACGTTAGGAGATGGAATGCGGGGGGTGGGAGTCGAGAGAAATATCGCAGAGGCGAATCGAGAGAGGAGAGGAAGTGGTCGAGGGGGAGTAGGGGATGGGGGGCGAATTGATTGAGGGAGGTCGTAGGAGAGAAGGATAGAAACTTTATAGGCGATGAAGATGAGGTATGAACATGCAGACCTAGACAGGATGAGACAGGTGTTAGTTAGGAGGAAATAATTGCGGAAGAGTGCAGAGGTCTATTGAGACGGGGGGAACGTGGGCGGAGGGGCTCATTTTCCCGATTCGCAAAGGAGATAGATAGCAGACTTTTGGAGGAGTGAAACATACCCCAATGAAGAGCGATGATGGCAGGAAGTAAAAGGGAAGAAAGAGGTAGAGAGAGTTTTGGATGGAAGACAAGTACGAAAAGTCCCGACGAGGACAACCAAACGGAGGCCTGGTCGGGGGGAAGCGAGAGAGAGAGCGCGAGAGCGTGAGAGGGAGAAGGGGGGCGGAAAAGAGCAAATAGAATATGGGATGGAATTCCGAGTAGTAAGTAGCAAGCAGCGGCAGCACAGCAGCAGCAGCAGCAGTAGCCAAAAGGTAAGAGAGGAACGGGGGCAGCCCCTAAGACGGAGAAGATGATGAGTTAAGTTAGTTACTTTTCTGACCAGCAAGGCGGGCCGAAAGTAGTCGGTCGCCTGTACACTAAAACTACCGCGCAGAAAGTTCCCTTACTCGCCCAGTTGGCCCTGCTGACGAAACCAACCAGGATGGGGCCCAGGGACTGTGCAAATAAGGATGATGGTGATGGAGATTGAGGTCTGATGTTTTCTTTTCTTTTTTTTTTTTTTTTTTTGCCCTTTAATTCTTGGGTTTTTCTCTACTTTTTTATTTTATTTTTTGTTCTTTTTGAGTTTGGTCTTGTTTTGCTTCTTCACGGTATTAACTTTCGTTCTGGAACCCAGCCAGAAGGAATACGATAATGCAGAAACCTCCAATGCAAACAGAAACAAGAGGAGGGAAAGGGGGAAAGAAAAATGTATGGAAGAGGAGAGGGAAAGCGAGACGAAGCGATAGAGGGAAGATGAGCTGTCCCCAATACGAGGCGTAATGGCCCAGGTGACTGGATTAAACTATGGGGTTCACCAAGAGGGGTTCTTGGGTCGGCACTGGGTAAGCGAAGTCGAAAGTCTGGAGAAATCCAAGATGAAGCGATGGATGGAAAACCTTCGTGGCTTGGAACCGGCTACACGGTAAGACACGGGTGTATATTTACAAGCTCTGACCAGCTTGAAAACTCTACAAAATAGACTTATCTTGAATAGCAAGAAGAGATGTGGAAAGGAATAATATGAAACAAAAAGAGAGAGAAATAGCGGCGGTGAGGAAATGGATTAGGGTATACGGAGTGGAGGATAATAAATACTACCAAATAATAGAAAAAGAAAATAATAGTTTATAAAAAAAAAAAAAAAAAAAGTAAAAATAAGAACTACTCAAAAAAATTTACCCAAGTGAAGATATTTACTACTCCTTCACTTAGTTAATGAGATGGAGTTATTTTGATGGAGACTACAGAAAAGGGGATGGTTTAAACCCAGGAGAAGTGCCGCTTGGGCCCACGAGGGAAAGGCGCGCCGGCAAGTGGAAAGAGAGATACGGAGTAGACTACGGAGTCGCAAGGGTGAAATGCGAATGGGAGACGAGACGGCCTGGATGGAGCAAGTCAAACAGAAAAGACTGGGCCTGCGGTGGAGAGCAGCAGCTTCACTAACTAAGTTAAAAGTGGTGGACGCCGTGGGTGACATTCGCGAGAAGGGATGATGCGCCGAAGAGGTCTGGAAAATCTGCACCTGCAGGCAAGCAGATGGACTGCTGTAAGCCTGTACTATCTATCTCCCCTGATGCAGCAATAGTTTGCGTTTGCCAGCCTTGCCGGTCGTACTTTTTTTTTCTTCTTAATTTTTTTTAAATTTTACCAGCATACCAGAACTCTACTAAACCTGCACCAGGCAAGGAACATCCATCGAAGCACCTTGTTTCCTTCCCCACTGCTGCCGACCGAGAGTTTGCTTTTCCCTTAAATCCCCTGTGCGCCTCTTTGCTTCTTCCTTTGCTTGTTCTTTGTCTCTTCTCCGCCTCTTCCAAACTTTCTTCCCGTCAATACCATCTGTCTGGTATTTGGTCTTTTTTCTCTAATTTCTTTCTCTCCCACCGCCATCCTTTCCGCCTCGTGCTTCAACTCCCCCATCCCAATCTGAATGGCCCCTACATGCCAGCCGAGTGGCCCCAGAACTAGTATTCCTCTGACTACATAGTACATAGTACCTCTGGCCTGGCCCATGTCAGACCTCCTTGAAACCCTTTTCTGAGGTTGTGCGTGGCTATAGCTCGTGGCCGCCACGTTTTTGATTGACCGACCGCGCGACCACTTGGCCAGTCATACCAATGGGAATGCGCTGCCCAGCCTTGGTGCTGATGAAGTGGCGGTTGGGGCCAGAATCACCACACACTTCCTGCACCATCCAAATTGCCCATACGGGTTTCGCCCGGGAGGGGTTCTATCTGGTCTGGACAGGCCTCTCAAGCCTCTCTCTGTCTTATCCTCTCGCCCGCCATAAGTCAGATGTCCCCTATATTTCACACGAACTACGAATAATTCGCAGATCATCTGGGCTGGTTTGACTCTCACGCTAGTTGCATCTTCATCCCGGTCACCAACCTGGTCTGGCGTTTCAGGTCGCCGTGGCCTGGGCGCCTGCATCAATATGATCCCGGTCAACGTAAAAGCAACCAGGGTGCTGCACTCTATCTGCTTGTGCCACGCAGCCCACGCTGGCCAATCTACTCTCCCTTCTTCCCCCCATGTCTGCACCAAGGTTCTGCAGCAACTATAACGACTGCCACCATCACCTCGTATCCTTCGGAAAACAACTTGATGCATCAAAAAGCTTCACTTCCTCCCCAGGAGCAGGAGTCCCAATATACTGGCTTCCCAACCTGCTGATGCTTATTGATTAATCCCACCGCACGATCATCCACTTAGCGGGGCGGGTCCGACCCCCAAATCCTTTTTAGCCCAGAGATTTGGTGGACCCGGCCGCCCATCCCATCCAGCTTCGTCTCGCCAACGGTGCTGATCTTCTGGATCTAGACAATTTTGAGCTTAGACTTGGCTGCGTAGGCTCCCCGACACCAAACTTAGCTTTCCCCCTACTCCGTCTCGGCATGGTGCATCCTCACCCGTAGTCCGCTTTCAGGATGCCACGGTCATATTCGGTATGTTCAAAGCTAGGACAGCTGCCGGATGTCTTCCCCGGTGCTATAGTTAGATTTGCTATGGCCCTAGCCGATGTTTTTCCCTGCACGCGCTCGATACGGAGTACATGTGGATGCAAAAATAGGAGCAAAAAGATATGACAAGAGTGGGACTCGAACCCACGCCTCTTTCGAGACTGCAATTCATCCAGTTGAACTGGACAAGCTATTCACTTGAGTGCAGCGCCTTAGACCACTCGGCCATCTTGCCTTGATGACTAACTGTCCACTTTTGTGGCATATACTGCAGGGAAGTAGAATCAAGACAATTGGACCTGTCATATCTCGGAAGTCAAGATACAGTTTTGTTATCTCGACCTGTCAGTTCCGTGAGGTCTCTCAGTAATGATAATTTTCTCCGCGATCAGCCTCAACGGAAAGCGGCATCATTCTTCAGAGAAAAGCACGAGGTTATTTGTGTACGCGGGACTGGAATGTAACAGTCGCCCTGCTTTTGCCCGTGAAGATGAGTAGTTACCCACCCACATTTCATCTACAACTGCACTGGATACACAACATCACTTTGACCTCTGCCCGCAGTATAGTGAGTGTTATTTGATAGTCAAACTAATAAGACATTCTTTTACCGCATGCGCTAATCATCCACTCAAGCGCTGTGGTGATGGATATGAAAATGTGTCTTTCTACGGTAGCCCACATATAATAAACTACAGGCATGTATATTAGTTTGTTCAAATTCAGCATACTATCCATCTAACTGCACCATCGTATGATCGAGTGGAAATAAAAGAAATAATCGATAAATTGAACGAATACGACTGTTGTTAGATTCCATACTCCCCAAAATATCCTCCAAACCCATAGCATAGACCAACACAGCATATTTCCATCCACAACTAACACCCCTCCACCCCCACCCCCAATAAAATACCAACAGTGCATCCCAAACCACATGAACAGGCAAGATGGCCGAGTGGTCTAAGGCGCTGCACTCAAGTGAAATATCTTGTCCAGCAACAGCTGGATAGCATTGCAGTCTCGAAAGAGGCGTGGGTTCGAGTCCCACTCTTGTCATATCTTTTTTATTGATTTTCATTCACATCGATCACATGTCATTTATCCCCGCAACCAGCCCCACCCCAACCCTCTCTTGATCCGAACTTTCGGAAAAACAAGGTACTGAATAGGCAAGATGGCCGAGTGGTTTAAGGCGTCGCACTTAAGTCGTTGGAACTCTTCCTGGTTTGGTTTATTAGAACTGGACTGGTAATCGTCTGGCGGAAATGCGATCTCGTAAGAGGCGCGGGTTCGAACCCCGTTCTTGCCATTTCTTTTTTAACCTCCTCCCTTCCCCTCTTCCTTGATTGAAAGGGTTGGTTGACTGTTTAATTGTGATTCATTCATTTTTATATGCTCACTTGTTCCTTTTCTTCTTTCCCTTTTATTTTTTTATCATTATCATTGTAACATGCCCGATCTACCACCCCCAAAGCCTCTAACGAGATGTCAATAAGATATTATCTATCGGCCATTCATCTATTAATGAACAACACTACCTCCCAGTCCAGCTGGTACTAGGAAACCATCTAGAAAAGAATAGATGATCAGGCTATATATATCATTCCTAATACCGCCTATTCCTATCCCTTTTCCCCAACTGGAGGTGGACCATCCGGATGGATTTAGTTTAAGGTAGTGGGGGATGTCATGCAGGGATCGATCGGGGTTGAATGGATAGGGGTCATAATATGCAGTATTATTGATCCATTGTCTTATTTTTGATGATCTTTGTCTTTGCGTTTTAGTATTGGTGTTTGTGGTTAGGTCTGTGAGGTGTGCTTAAGTTGGATCATAATAAGGGATGTATGGGTGGGGCGGGTGTCGATAATATATATTCAGTTGCTCCGCGGTTGGGGACTGCATGGCATTTCCACCACTAGGCTGAGAAATGATAGAAAATTATATAACCCCGATGTATTTCAGAGATATAGAGTGAAGCTTTGATATAAGGACTGATATATGTTAATGAGAAATAGAATTGTAGGCCTTGTAGAGACCAAGGTAGGATGTTTGTTTATGACCCCTATATAGCTATAATATAACTAATCATAACTTATCATAACTGTAGATAACTTCGAAATTCTATTAGCTGTCTTTATTATACCCTCCTCACGCAGCATCTGGAGCTTCGATCCAAAGTTGATGTACTCGAATCAATACTACTATTATATTAATAGATGCTCATTGCATGCCCAAGGAGACAATCTCAAACATGTTATCACTACAAACAAAACAATTGCCTATTTACAATCAAAGAATCAGACAACCAACTCCCCACCCATAACCCGCACCGCACTTCCCCTCAACTCCACCGTCTCAATCTTCTTCTCACCACCAGTACTCTTCGTACTAACAGCAACACTAATATCCGATCTCCTTCCCATCTCCACACCCTGCACAATATCGTACTCGACCTTCCCCTCACCAGCATTAATCAGTGCCAAATAACTCGACAATCCACTCGCCGCACTGCCCGTCGCCGGGTCCTCAAAGTTCCTCAACAACATCCTCGACCGGATGACCTTCTTCCCTGTCGCCTCATCATGAACCCCAGGAACATAGAAGTAAACGACAATAAGACCAGCACCTTCCCACCCCTCATCGAGGTATCCGCCTTGGGAGACAGATTTGCAGGGAATGACTTCCCCGCTCACGGGGGCCTCCGTGGCAGCCAGCGCCTCCAAGCTGGGCAATTCAACCAAGACCTGGCTCATGCCTTTGACGATGGAGAAGACGGGGAAGCTAGCATTCTTCTCCTTGGAGAGGAAAGGGGTCAGAGAAGGATGCAATCTTAGCATCTCTGACAGCGGGAACCGCGAGGAGTGAATGTGCACATTGTGTGCGATCTGAGCAGCTACTACACCGCCATCTGATGAAGGCGACACACGGGAAATGGCGAATGGACCGGCTTTCGTGAGAAGAGTCGTGACATCTTTCCTGTCGGACTCTTCTGGAGAATGCTGCAGGAACCAGGAGACTGCGCCGATGGTGGGGTGGCCGGCGAAGGGGAGTTCTTCATCTGTAGTGAAGATGTCGATTTTGCGGACGGAGGGGGTGGCGGGGTCTGTGGGGTGGATGAAGATGGTTTCAGAGAGGTTGAATTCACGAGCGATGGTTTGTTTTTGGGATTGTGTGATGGTGTTGTTGGTAGGGAGGAAGACCACGCCCAGCGGGTTGCCGGAGTAGGGGGTGGTGGTGAAGACGTCGAGGGTGAGGAAGCGGAGGGATTGAGACATTTTGATTGTTGATACTAGTTATTCAATAGCGGTAGATGTGATTATATTTAAGGGTTGAGAAATGGATGGGATCATGGACGTATAGATATAGCTGGGAGGAGAAAAGTGTATGAGTCATGACGTGAAGGGATTGGATCAGGCGATGGTGGGGAATCTCCACGCCCTCCGAATAGCACGCGGATATCCCAGGAACCATATTTCTCCAGCTCGGTTAGAAGTGTATGGCTCCACTAGAGGCTGCAAAATGCCGGCACTTGTGGATGGGGTTTGATTTGACAGTTTGGATGCCAGAAAGTTCTTTCGGTGTGCGGCATGTTCTCCCCGGTGCTTGCACGTGGAATGCTAACCACAACGTCGGTGGTCGGGACTTTTAGTTTACTGGTGCGATGCATGTTATGCTTGGAATGCGGTAGCAGCTGATCGCATCTCAATTGTATCTTCAGTACCGACTTGGATAGATCCGGTGTCAATCAGCAAGTTATATTGCAACCCCTAATTCCATTAGGAATGCTGCAATGTGCCCCACGAAATTGTAGACAGGAATCTCTGATTGTCCAGTAAGCATCTAAACTCATGATCTAGTTTGCCTAAAGACTACCGCAAATTGGAGTCCCTTGCTTTTCGCAGGTCCAGCGAATTGCGTGACCACGTGTCTGTTGAACCATTGTTCGTCCTAAGCAAGGGGAAATCTGTATGGATGGCATACGCTAAAGACCCGGCACCATCGATTGACCCACCAGACGAGCTTATTCCAGTAGTCTGATCTTGCCGGATCAGCTGTAGAAGAGTGAAACCAGGCTAGTAACTGAATTTGGGATTGGATGGCTGCCTACTCCAACATTGAACTTCTTAAGCATTGAGGGAAATGCATCATAGCAAAGGGCCATATAGCGCCGCCTAGCATAATTAGTGCCCAGGAATGCATAATTGCTTCTGTTGCGCCCGAGTAGCACAGGGGAACAACACAGAATTTAGTGCTCACATGGTTCGGGCAAGGGCAAATGTTGGCTAAGAAGGGATGGTGAAGTGATTTGCGGACTACCATGCCTATATTTCAACCAAACAATCGAGACTTTCCACAAAAAACAGTATCATATAGTAAGAGTTACTGATATTTGCTGAGATTCACGGGCTGTTCGGTAAGAAGAATGTGGAAGCGCAGTTAATTTCCTGTCTAAGTAGGCGAGAGGTAGATTGACTATGTAAATGCTCTGACACCACGTAGGCAAACTGGCCTGTCTAGGTGGCTCTTTAGTAAGAAAACTGCCTAGCTAGTTGGTTTCAGAAGCGCAAACCTCATGCTTAGTTGCCTGTTGTGCATGAGTCAGCATCACAGCCCCATGCCTAGATAGCGTTGATGACGGTATATCGTCGAAGAGGCATAAAGGCAGGCTGTGCAATAGTACACTGCTAAGGAAGACGTCAAAAGAAGAAAGGTACACTTGTTTCATGTCTAGGTTTGCCACGAATACACGTAAGGAGGCGAGAGAGGATCCTGCATAACTCTGATAAGCTGAGCCACGGCTGTTGTCGAACCTGAGCGGGACCGACACGTTGTTCGATCGCATTTCTGATGTCATTCGCGACATGATCTACAGAATAACCGGCCACTCTCCACAAAGTATGTTATCTCGAGACTTTCACATCAGATCCCAAACAAGTAGGCACTGGGATGATGTTGGTTGGACAGTCAAGACTCCACTTCATTTGCAGATAACGTAAGGGATGATATAAGTAGGTGCGGCTCGTATTGGTCGTCAAAGGCTCAAAAAGATGTTCACTGAAGCAGAGCCAAGTGTAACCAACAAGGCTTGTCCAATGCTTTGTGGTGACCAAGCAAGCCGTGGGGATCGACGCGGCTCCTGGCCCATCTTATGTACATATACGAGAGGGAGTTTGTGGTCTGACGGCCTGCAGTGGCTCAGTTGTATCAGAATGCCGCAGGGGATAATTCTACTTGCGGGCCAGAGAGGAATGTGTTTCGCGTGGGAGACAGTGCGATCTGTTTGTTGTGAGGGGAGTCTGATCGGCACCGTGATATCTAACTGGCTTTGTCATATTCTGCAGGCTACACTGCTCGCTTAGCTCAGAATACGGGTCAGGGCGTTGATCCCGTCTGGGTTACGACCAGCAAAGTTAGGTTAGAGGGTGGGATGAACGTGAAGAATAGTGAGAGAAAGGGTTAGCCCCAAGAAGGGAGACGGGTGGGTTACCGGGAGAATCCTCCAGTAGCCCTGAACTGCTGGACACGAGGAAAGTATATCGAGATACTGTGATGCTAAACAGAAGTAGAAGGTGGCAAGGTGCTGATCGTTCGATCTGACACGCTCCCCCCACCCAACAGGCTCGGATTTCGTCCCATCGCTGTTGCGGGTAGGGATCATCAAGGCTCCACTTGGTTAGCAGGAGGTGGAAAATAGCCACGGATTCTGGCATTCCTTCGTCGGAGAGTGATAACCTCCGATGCCTCGGGATAGATTCCGCGTAATATAACATCGGCGTTAAATTCCGAAAAACGCCATCGTAGAAGCTTTGAAATGTCTGAAGTGATTCTTTATCTAGCAATTAGTCGAAGTGGATGGAGAAGTGTTATTTACCGTCTCCATAAGAGGGAGTTTCTAGGGATAGCGACCGACCACGCAGTACTATGGTGGTAGGAGAATCGATCGAGATCGTCCGGTCACACGTGGTCGCAGCGCCACGAGCAAACCGATAAGATCGTGGTCTGGTGGAGGAACCTAGTAGGTAACAGTTTCGTCAACCTCTAACCGGGCTGGTAGGGCGACCACTCAGGCCGATCTTGCCTGTGCTTGGTCTGCCCACGCGAACGTTGTAGATGACTACTAAATTAGGGTGGGACTGAACCACACCAGGAATTGCTGACTGAGGGATGGAGAAAGAGGGGAAGAAGGAAGGGGGTGGGGACTTGCAGCCGAGCAATAACCGAATCATATTTGTTGCAAGGGGAGGAAGGTATCTTGAGTTCAAATCTGACCACAATAGCGGGCAAAAAGGTTTAGAGTGTTTCAGC